GAGGGGGTCACCGCCATGGTGATGGCGGTGCATCGCCCTAATTCACCCAAGAGCAGCACAAACGAAGGGGGCACCACCATGGTCACCGCCATGGGTGCGGCGGTGCACCGCCCTAATTTCCCAGAGGCTGGTGTTTTTGGGTGGCTAGCTGGGTGGTCACCACCACCCCTGTCCGGTGACATTCTAGCCATTAGAATTCGATTGTTGGAGTCGACCGTTGGAGGGCACTGCCCTACCCTATCCGGTGCCCGCACCACCATGTCCAGTGCCCTTGCAGACAGCAGCCCAAAAGCTCTAATGGCTCTATTTGGCTTGGGGGCTATAAATAGAGGTGAAGCTCGGCCTTGGGCTGGTTGCTGAGCACCCTTAAGCCTTGGTGGCTTGTGTAGATGTGCTTGGGAGCCCTCTAACTCACACACGCTTGATAGTGATCATCCGATTGAGTGTGAGTGCGATTGCATCGTGAGGTTGCATCGAGTGGCACTAGGTGATCGAGTTGCAAGCCGGTGGTGCTTGTTACACTTGGAGGTTGCCACCTCCTAGATGGCTTGGTGGCTTGTGACTCCATTGAAGCACGCGAGAAGATTGAGCGGTGCTCCGAAGGAGGATTTGTGAGGGGATTGTGCTCACCCTGCGGGGATCGTGAAGGGCAACTCTAGGAGCATGTCATTGAGCTACCCTCACTTTTGGGGTAGGTTCTTATGGTGCCCCACGTGTGGGCTTGGTAGGTGATGCCAATTAGCCACCGAACCACCAAGTGAGCGGTCGACACAATGGGGACTAGCGTGTTGGCAAGCACGTGAACCTCGGGATAAAATTATCATGTCATCTTTGTCTTCCCGTTGGTTTGCATCCCCTTCAACAAGCTTGTATTTACTTTCATATACATTGTGCTTGTATAGTTGCTCTTGTAATTAGTTTGCTTGTGTAGCTTGGCTAGTTACCTTCTTGCTAATGTAGCATAGAAGTAGCTCCCTTGCCCAACTAATTTGGCTTGAGTAGCCTTGTTAGTTGCATTGCTTAGTTTGTGTAGCTAAGTTATTTGCGCTCTCTAATTTGGTTTGTGTAGTCTTGTTATTGTGCATTGCTAGTGAGCTTAGGAGCTTTGTACTTTTGCTTACTAGATTGTGTAAGAGCTCTCCCAGTTGCCAAAGTACTAGTGCATAGGTTTGTGTGACTTTGCTCTATAATTGATTAGTTGAGCACTAGCTAGCCCGGCACCTTTGTTGCCTAATTAGTGCTTCAATGGAGTTCAGAACATAGATAGAGGGGTGTAGTCTTGGCTAGACCGATAGTTTTAATTCCATATTTGTTTCGGTTAGCCGGTGCGTTTAATTTTTAGAAAGGACTATTCACCCCCCCTCCTCTAGTCCGCCATCTTGACCCTACAACCATCACAACAAAACAAACATCACAACTTACATCAAGTTTACACCAACATTAAAAGGGTAATTTAATTTCACAACATGTTTTTCCAAACTTATTAGTCATCACACATACACTTAGAGTACAAGTGGAAGTCTTTTAAACAAATAACACATAAGTTTGATACGAGCCCATGGTTGTGCCAACACCATGAACTTTACGTCACACATGGATCATCTACCACTCTTGATCCTCAGAGGACTCAAAGGCATAGAAGAATCTGTAGACTGGGGCTGCGGTACCTGCAAGGCTTAAACAACAATAGAGTGAGTACACGATTGTAATCAACAGGACTTACCAATATGGTCGTAACAAGGAGTAAGCATTTCTGTTAGTATCCAATAATACGGTTGGTTTTGCATAAAGGTGTTTTATACATAAGTAAAGTTATCTTATCAACTAAGCAAGCGTAGCATGGTTGATAAACATAAAGCAATTAGCAAGGTGGAGCTCAATCTTCCACGAGTCATTTACTCATCATTAGTATGTATTTAGAAGCATAGAACATTTAGCATAATTCAAACTCTGCAGAGAGGTACATATTAACCCCACCAAAGACAAGGGATACTGCCCATATTGCCCGTCATTACATAAGGGGTATCTCGATGCCTCAACCTTTCCCAAGTTTGGGCAAGGACACCCATGAACGGTTTGAACGTGAGCCGAGGTACTAGCTTAGTCTAGCTACCCCGTGCTACACCTTACGCTAAATCCACGGGAAAACTAGTCGCAACAAAGTACTCAGCTTGTCACACCCATACATGACGAGTGGTTTGTACAAAAGTGGTCATGTCTCACTACCGCGGATACACGGTCCTTAATCGGTCTAGTGAGCTACACCATTCATGACCTTTCCTTCCTTGAAATGGTCCAACCCCTCGCCAGTCCTCGATTCAATTCTCATCTTCTTGGACAAGCTTTAGATTACTGCACCATTTTTGTGTTGCTTAGTGGACAAACAAGTCCTACATGCGTGAGAGATGAGAAACCTATCATCTTCTTGACTTTTACCGTCTAAGCAAGCTAAGCATGGATTACGTGAAAATTGAAAGTAAACAAGCAATGATACAAGGCATTGGATCAATCACAAGGAATTGAAGCTCAACTAGGTACTTTAGGTAACTATTTTGTAAAATAGCATGCATATAGTTAACCTTTAGTCACATTATGCAATCTGCAAAAGAAAGAGTTAGAATGCTTAGGTGTCTGCCTTGGGGTTCAGTCGAGGCTACTCGACAACTTTGTTGGTCACGGGGGTCTCATCAGGTGGGACTTCCTTATACGATTCTTCACCTATAGAGATGTGAACTTCAACTTGGTACATATATTGAATATGTGAGAGTGGATGATAGATTTAAAGGTTTGGACAACCTCGGTGAGTTCTCTATCAATCTTGTTGACACAAAGAAACATGAACTTTATGGTTGGGTGTTGTTCTTAATCCTTAAATTGGCATTGATCTTACCGGTGGTGACAGCAAGTGTTAAAAGAGTATTCTCTGCATTATGTCTAGTGAAGAATAAGGTGAGAAACAGTATGAGTGACAAGTTATTAAATGATTGTTTAGTTACCTTTATTGAGTGTGATATATTCTCCAATGTAAGGAGGATGACATAGTCCATGCTTTCATGGTAACGAGGAAGCGCAAAGCAAAAGCCTTGAGCTAGTATTGTAGTCTCTTACTATGTAAGACCTTATCTTATGTATGATCTATTTGTGTAAGTTTTAGACCTAGTTGTGTAAGTTTTGAACTTTTTAAATGTGTTATTGTAATTTGGTTAATTTATAGTCGGGTATACACTGAACCATATAAAGTATTTTATATTAGTTTTATCAAATTTTCTATTGGATTTTATCGTATTGCATATGAAAATTTTGACTAGTACTATCGTTGGTTCAAATCCTGGATCCATCACTGTGTTTATGGGGAAGAGTGTATATACAGCCTGTTCGGGAGGCCGTATCGTATCGTGGATTATTTACTGCTGGCTGGTTTGGTGTGAGAGAAAAACACTGTTCCCCGCTGAAAATTTACGATCGTTTACGAGTAAGCGAACAGGCTGATAGTCATGCATGAGGATGTAGCCACACTGCTGAACCTCATTAAAAACAGCATGCTCGTTGTATTTTCTTCTATAGTGTTATGCTTATGTGTTCTTCGGTCAGTTGATTTGTTTGGGTCCTTGCACTCTAACAACTGAGATGTGAATTGATGCCAGTTTTATACAATTATATTACCATGTGTTGAAACCTGAAGGTTTTTGTGATTTCTGTTCAGCTTCTTACACAGATTGGTCATTATTATGAAATTAAAATGGCCATTAAATGAAAGTTCTTCCAAAATAAAATCTTTTCATAGCCCATGGGCTTAGGCTAAATTCACAACCCCGAAACAAAAGCCTATTGCAACAGAGTAGGTCTAAGGTGTTGTTTTGTTTCAACAGTGGCAACAGGAATGCTACAATCAGCTGTCGACGCTAGCTGTTACAAGAAAACTGTAAACGCTGTTTGTTTGGTTCGCCGTGTGAGTGCTACCTGTTCTTCTTGTCCTTGGAGAAAGAGAATGGGTCCTTCTTATTGGCTAGCGCGAGGTTCCATGTGGGCTAGGTCTATGGGGCCAGTGCCGCGACAAGGGTCACAAGGGCTGCGGCCTTTGGTGCCTGGGCAGTGGGAGTCGCTGCAGGGGCCTTGGGCTTGGCCACCGCCGCTGCTGGAGACTAGGTTGCCCTCGGTAGTGGGAGTTGCCGCCGCCGCTTTAGTAGTCGCACGTGGGGAGGGGACCAGGGGGTCACAAGAGAGGTTGGGACGTAGCATGCATGTGCAAGTAGGGATAAAAACGGGACATATGTTTACTAATATCCATCCATCTTGAAAGCGTCAAAACCCCATATGGATAATTGTATATGATCTGAACATTTAATATTCTACCAAATCTGAATAGTCAAAATCATATTTCTGGTGCATATATGGGATAGATATTAATATCCGACATATCTGGTTCTAAGATCCAAGTAAAAATATGGGATAGATGCAGGATCGCTGATATCCGTCTTTCATCCCAAGGTGCGAAGAGGATCCAGTTTCATCCCTAGGTGCGAGGAGCGATGACGGGAGTGGCGGTGTTGATTTTAGGACTCCACAAGAAGATACTGCAGGAAGGGGAGGGGAGAGGTAATGGAGTTGTATTGGGCTGGATTTGTTCACGCTGTGATTTGTTATCACTCGATCCATCCAAACATAAAGTAATGTAATATATTTACACCATGAATCGAAGACATGCTGAAAACGTGAAACCAAACCGCCTCTAAATTTAAATTTACAACATATAAATTATGGATAAGTTTTTTAGAACATAACCAAGTAAATCTCCGACACCATTCCTCAGCTACATGTACCCCCATCTTCACTACAGACTCCTTTTTTTTTGCGACGATCTTCACTACAGACTCGAGAGCCAACACAAACAACAGACGCATCTCCTCTTAGTACAAAAAACACACACAAAAAAGAAGAGAAAAAGACAAAATACTAGTGCTGGATCTGCGGGGGCGCGTGCATGGAACACGCATTGATCTCTAGGCCTCGAGGGGCTTGCAGACGATGGTGGCGTGCTTGGCGATCTGGTTGCTGAACTGGCCGGGCTTCTCCGTGGTGTCGATCTTATCCTGGCCCGGCGGCGGCAGCAGCTGGAAGTTCTGCACCAGCCTGCCCAGGGTGATGCCGATGATAGGCAACGCGAGGATGATCCCTGGGCAGCTCCGGCGACCGACCCCGAAGGGCACGAAGCGGAAGTCGTTGCCGTGAGCCTCCACGGTCTTCTCCTCCTCCAGGAAGCGGTCGGGCCGGAACTCGTCGGGCCGCACCCACCTCTTGGGGTCGTTGGCGAGGAACCAGGCGTTGACGAGGATCTTGGACTCGGCGGGGATGTCATAGCCGGCGAGCTTGCCGTCGTTGAGGTTCATGTGGGGCACCAGCAGCGGGATGGCCATGCGCAGGCGGAGCGTCTCCTTGACGATGGCCTGGAGGTAAGGGAGGCGCTCGAGGTCCGGCTCCGTCACAGGCACGCCGGCACCCAGCACTGAGTCCAGCTCCTCCCGCAGCTTGGACTGGATGGCCGGGTGGTTCACCAGCTCCGCGATGCCCCACTCGATCGACCACAGTGTCGTCTCGATCGCTGCAAAAGCAAACAAAAAGGTTTCTTTATTTAATTCGCTTGCTCCTTACACATTCAAATTTGAGCAAACTTTCTAGTACTCTTTTTTTTCCTAGGCTGTTTCTCTCATGATTGAGCGCATCTTGTGATTTTGTCAAATCCCAACAAATGGCCAGTGAGTGCATAATAGTTTTTTGCACGGGCTGCTGGTGGCAGCTTTGACTTGCAGACAAGACCTAGAAAACGCAACCAAAAAAAGAGGCGTGATCACGTGGTGGCGGCTTCAACTACCATTTGATTATCCATTTTTGAAGTGTAACACCTCGTTATGCCTGCTAAGTCGCCGGTTAATTAAGAATGAAAGTTGGCTGACGGCGATTTGATTAAGACGTGCCTTTTTATCGTCCATGCAAGTAGTATGTTTTAAACAAAACAGCGAACCACAACATCGTACTGGGTTTACTTGCACCCGATGTTGCAGTGCTATTTGTTTGTGCAGGGCTGGACTGCAGTACTATTAGGTTCTTTTTACTGGAATTTTTTTGGAAGAGCTGGAGTATATTACTACTACTATTGTTTTACTAGTTGGTCCCTACACAATTTATGATGTAAGCTAGTAACATTTAACCCAGTATAAGATATGGTGACTGAAGATGGGCATGCCACTGTGGCCTTGTTTAAATTCGGGATATAAAGTTTTGGGGTGTCACATTAGATGTTATATGGGGGTGTCGCATGGGGTATTCGGATACTAATAAAAAAATAAATTACAGAACCCGTAAGTAAACCGCGAGACGAATTTATTAAGCCTAATTAATCCGTCATTAGCACATGTATGTACTGTAGCACCATGTTGTCAAATCATGGGTTAATTATGCTTAAAAGATTCGTCTCGCAAAGTAGTCGCAATTTGTACAATTAGTTATTTTTTAGTCTATATTTAATACTTTATGCATGTGTCCAAACATTTGATATAATAGGGTATAAATTTTTTAGGAAGAAACTAAACAAGGCATCGTGAAAACTCAGTTCATTTACAACCAGGCATAGCAGATACTCTGTTTCCAGAAACAGAGGATATCGTGGTGTGAACTGTGACAGCTGGAACGGATTGAGCGGAGAATGGAGGGCGAATATATGTATGTACCTGCGACGTTGATGTTCTCGACGATGTAGAGGACGTTGTCATGGTTGATCTCGCCTTTCCTCTCGGCCTCGAGGATGTGGTCCATGGCGCACCGGATCTCACCAGTCTGAGCCATCACCTTCCTGTATGTGCACGCAGCCATGTTACTGTTAGTTAGACAGGCTACCCAACTGAATGAATTGAATCAAGAAGGTTCCTACCACACCACCGAGTCAACAGGATGGCTAGAATTCCATGGTAATATAGAATTTGATAAAGTAGTAGGCCCTCGTGGTCGTGAGTGGGCACGGTTGGTTCATGGACCCAGCCTAATCTGAGGACAAATAAACTAGTCTATGATTGGCACGCATGCCATGCTGAGGCCCTTAATTCCAACTAACATGAAGCAGAAAGCAAAGTACAAACCAAATGATCCACGTAACCACTTTTTAATAGAGAGACACAGCAAAAGCTTTTATATTTGCATATACATGTTGAAAAAAAAGCCTATCCTTTTCCATCACTCTGTGTCGCTCTCGTTGTATATGTGTGTGTGGTTGCCCGGATCCTAAGCTTTCGGGCTTGCGCGGAAAGCAAAGCAAGGCACATCTAGCGGGGAGAGCCCCATTTTTTTCGTGTGCTAATCTGTCATCAGGAGGTGAGTAGTGCGGTTCACCTACTCGTCATGCGATTTTCTATCTTCAAAACAAAACCTACCCCGCCTTCGTTCTGTTAACGATTTTCTATCGTCATCATCAAAACCTACCCACCCCGCCTTCGTTCTGTTAACCTGTTGCTGTTGTGGACAATGACAAGTTGTTACGTATACTCCTTATTACCCCAGTGCCCTTTTTTAGTTACGTGTCGAATACAACTGCTCTATGCTAATACAAAACGAGCGTAAACAACGATGACATGATTTGGTCATCTGGTTTGGCCGCTTCCGTTCAAGGCTTATTAGGATGGAAGGCCACGAAAAAGTCCAACTCGATCACCAAATTGAATGAGTAGCGAAAATAGACTTGGTTGTTGATTCGTCCTTGTCCACTGGCTGATGGCATTATTGATTGTCATTCGGGAGGCAAGGCAGCAGCATCAGCCACAGCTCATCACCCCCACCCCACCCGCATCCCACCCGCCGGCGATGCAAATGCAAGTTGAATATTAAAGAAGAAAGAAAACAGGGTATGGCAGATCGACGAGCTTACTTGCGTTCCTGGACGAAGTTGTCCTCGAAGACCTTCATGCGGCGCGTCTTGAGGTCGCGGCAGCGGTTGAGGTACCCTCGTAGGAACGGGCGGAGCACGGGGATGAAGTCACCATAGTTGTACTCGAAGCTCTGCGACAGGCGGCTGCGCTCCGCGTTGAAGGCCTTGAGCTTGTTGAAGAGCGGATCCTCCTCGCTCTCGAACCTCCGGTCGAACATGATGCGGAACATGTCGTTGTACATCATGAGCTGCAGGCGCTTCCGGATCACGACGCCCTGGGTCGCGGCCTTGGCGTTCCTCTTCACGTCCTCCACCACGAGGCGGGCCTCCTCCTCCCACCCGGCGCGGTTCTGCGCGACGACCTTGTTGGTGAAGAAGGGCACCGTCATGATCCGCCGCATCTTCCGCCAGTGGTCGCCGTACACGGTGAACACCATGTCCTGGCCCTTCCCCGTGAAGATGTCGAAGACGACGTTGCGGGTGCGGGACCCGAACTCCACGCCCTGCGTGTGGAGCACCTCCTTGGCGAGGTCGGGGGTCGAGACCACCACCAGGTTGCGCACGCCCATGCGGAGGAGGAAGATGTCGCCGAACCGCTTCGCGAGGGTCATCAGGTTGCGGTGGTTCAGGTCGTCGCCTACCTGCAGCCAGTTGCCCACCACGGGGGCGCCGGGCGGGCCGGGCGGGAGGCGGTAGCGTTTGCCGGTTAGCTTTGCGACGGCGATGGCCACCACCGCCGCCGCGAATAGGCCCAGCAGGGCCTTCTCCAGGAGCACGAGGTCCATGCTGGACGCTTGGAGCCCGGCCGCCGGGGTGGGTAGGTGGAGAGTGTGGCTCTGTTTTGTTTGTTCGCCGTCTGCCTGTAGAGGAGGACAGAAGAGGCGATGGAACAGGCGAGGGGGATGACAGGGATTTTATAGCGTTTTGGAGACGAGACGGGTCCGATTTGGGTACACAAATTTGTTTGGTTTGCGATCGCGGTGGTAGTTGGTATGGTTTTTGGTTGGTGCGGCCTGCGGGGCTGCGGGCGGCATAGTCAAAGGGTTCGGGAGGACGGACGGCCGTGGCATCTCCCTCGACAGTCAGGACGGAGGCGGCACCGAATCGATGGCGCTCCACGCTCCATGCCGGTGCTGGTGACTGATCGTTCGCTCGCTGGCGCCCGACCTCATCGCTGTGAATGGCGGAAACGGGATCCCGTCGACATCGCCGCCGGGTCCAGTACTCCAGTGTCCAGTCCGCACCAACGGACTGAGCTGAGCATGTGGCTCTCTAATTTTTTTTATCACCAGATCTACTCTTGCAACGTCCAGATGAAAACACTTAAAACATACGTTCGAAACAGCGAAAACACTTACAACATACGTATGAAACACTTTCTCAAAAACACGTGTTAGCCAACATTTAGATGAAACATATGCAGCATACGTATAAAACACTTGAAACATATGCTTGCAACATGCATGTATATGCAACATCCAGATCTACTTTTACAGCATACAGATAAAACACTTGCAACATACGTTTGAAACAGATAAAACATTTTGAACAAACTCTTGCAACATACGTGTATAGCCATTGCAACATGTGCAACATCCCGATCTTCTGTTGCAACATCCATAAGAAACACTTGAAACATATCTCTGAAACATCTGAAATACTTGAAACATATGTTTGCAACATGCGCTTTAAGCAACATGTCCTTGCTGCTTGGGAGAATGAATGCTCATCGGCGTGTAGAGTTCACCAGTGTAGAGCTCACTGGTGGCGTGGAGCTCGATGCTCTGGTGGAGAAGACCACGGCAGGTCCGATGTAGAAGGCCACTCCGATGGAGAAGGCCACGGCGGATCTGGCGCGAGCTATCATCGCTCCGATAGAGAAGGCGGTCCACGCGCTGGAGAAGGTCGCGACGGATAGGAGGCGCGATGGAGATAGAGGAAGGCGGGTAGCCACGCTCAGTGCAAGATGCCGACCGGCAGGCTCAGGGATGCCGTGGAGAATACTGAGGCGGCACGGCAGAGCGCGGTCGTGGTGGAGCAGGGTTGCGGCGCTACAGTTGTGGAGAGCCTTCTGGAGAATGGAGACAACAGGCTATGGTTAGAGACAAGTGGACGAGAGGATACGTCTGTTGGGCCGATGGGCTGGTGTCGCTACTCGCGAACGGGAACATCCGGACGATCGGACGCCTTGAGCACAATATTTCTAATATTTTATATAGATATTACACATAGAAACTATGTTGTTAACACATAGAATAATTTTTTGTCCAATCACATGTATTCTCTCTCCTTTATCAACAAATCACATCTCTTTATGGCTTAGTTCCCGTGTATAAATGGTTTCTTGTTAAGAAACCATTTTTTTTCTCTCTTGTTTTAATTGAAGTGTCCCATCATCTTTTTGCTTAGTTGACATCCTCACTATGATAAAATGGGCTAAGCGATAGGTTTTAATTCCCCCAAAAAATTATATTAGCCCAATTCACATCACTCTTAGACATCTTAATCCCTTCATGCACCCATAGTGTATAGGCTCCATTTTTTTTTGTCACTAACACCCACCAACACAGCTTAGCTGACGCTCACCCCTGTTTATCCTAAATTTAACTTCACCTTGTTTTGCCCTATTAATTTAATGATACTAAATGATGTTTTTTCTTCATTCCTGACACTCTAGATTCGTAAATCTGTGTCTATGCTGAGGGGATTCTGTGTCTATGCTGAGAGGGCTTGGTTAGTTTGGTTATAACTGAAACAGAACCGAAATAACCGAACTCAAATTTCGCCGGTTCCTCTTTTTGTAAAGAACCAATTGGTCCCTGATTGTGTAGTAACCGAATTTGCTAAAAAACCAAGAAACCGAACCAATCGGTTGCGGTTAACCGAATGCCTAAGACTGCCACCAACCATACAGTTCCCAACATCCCACCAACCATAAGATTTCAAAACCCCCTTTTGACATCTAGTGGATGACTTTTTCTCATTAGCCCACGCAATACATCCTCCTATATAATCTGTCTCTGTTTGCAAGACAAACATGAGGCGGGTGATGGAAGGCCTGTTCTCCGGTAGGTGTTGAGATCGAGAGTACTGAACGAACCATCGACCTGAGCCACGGGCCACGTGGATGAGCGATCTGTTTCTGTTGGGTACAAGTTGAATAGCGTGCCTTCAGTTTTGTTTATCTTACAAACAGCGACAGATTATACATTTTGTGCCGAGTGATGTGTAGTGGTTGGATGCCTTCTCATCGGTCCAGGCTGCCAAACAACATTAATTGGGTTGCAAGACAGAGCACCCAGAAGTCAGCTCCTTGATCCAGCTTGCATGCACTTGACCGTGTTGCTACTTGTTGCAACTAGTCATGGTTGACTGTCTAATCTTGCAACTTGTCATGCAATTAATTGGATGATGATTTGCGTACTATATAGTATTTCAATCTTAAATAATCAAACAAAATAAATAATGGCAGGTGGAGCACTTACTAAGAACATCTCCAATAGTTCCACAAAAAAAAAAACAATTGGTAAATCCATGAGTTTTTCAAGTGGCTAAAAAAAGTTAGGAGCATATTTGTCAAGTTTCTTCAACAATTTCTAAAATCTTGGTACTAAAACATAGAAGACAATTTTACATCAGTAATCCTCCTCTAAAACCAAAGCTAGAGAAACCATTTTCTGCACTTCGTTTGGTACGGCTTCAGAAGTCAAAGAGTCAGTTATTGGAGCCATACCAAAGAAACCCTTAGCCAGTGGTACACTTCGAAGGTGTTGAACACGACGGTTTCAAAACCCACTTAAAAATGACATTTGCGGGCTTGGGGACAAACCTCTTACATCCCTACTTTTTTGTTTTAACACTGAAGCCCATTGTGTTTCCATGCGCTTTGATGTTTACTGTCCAAAAGCTAAGACTTACTGCCAATTAAAGATTTTGCACGGTAGACATGACTCATCAGCGTGCAAGTCCCACAATGTAACCTTGATTCCCCAGCAAGACTACCATAGAGAAGTTTAATTAGAAATGGGCAATCCATTATCATAACCAGCGTCTCAAAACCTGGATGCAACAACATGCAGACCAATATAAAACCACCAGTAGAAATGAATTCTGCACGTGCGATGTATCCATGTATAAGCAAAAATAATTCTTTAAACTCACCTGGATATGCCTAGGCAGTAGCAGCAATCATGTTCTTTATTTCCTCAAGACAGTTATCAAGAACTTTGTACTCCTCGGTGTCTGAGAAGTCCATTGCCTACAGAGTGAGGAAAAGTCACCAGATGTGTAATCTATGATGGGCATGAAACAAAATGGTTGCTGATATCAAAGATAAGATTGTAGTTTCTCAACACAAATATAATAAAGAAAATGCAAGCAACAAATGGCACAGAAAAGAAATGTAGACAATAAAAAAAAAATGCAAGCAACTTCATTCTGTGTATGCTCTAGATTATAAAAAAAAATGCACAGAAATGGTTACTATTGATGGTATTGATTTCCATTATGTTATTCGGGCATCCCAAATTCTTGAAAAGATTTTTTGCACTTCATTCTGTGTATGCTCTAGATTATGCCTTGTTCTTCAGCACTACTTCAGCAGTACTTTTCAGTGAACAAACAGTGTTTTTTCTCACAACAAATCAGCATAAGCCAAATTCCATGACCTCTTCATTATATAGAAATGGAACAATGCAAACAAAATTTGAATACCTGTTTCAAGGTACTTTTAAGGTGCATCTCGGCTGTTAATAATTCTCGTCGGCTTCCAGTTGAGGAAGAAATTTCCATATACACCTTGCAAAGCTTCAAAGAAGCTTGAGCATACTTTGCGAACTTCGTTTGATCATGCCATAATTCTGAACCCTGAGAGGGCAATAATTTAGTTTGTAAATTATTGTGACAGGAAAGTTATAAAGGCATCCTCAAGCTGTCTCAGGCATAAACTAATATTGGCATTAAGTAACTAAAATGAGTAACCACTAGATGCATGTAATCTATATTTGCACAAGTCCATACACCCAAGTCCTAACACCCTACCTGTACCCACCCTGCGTCTCTCACTCTCTCCGGCCTGATCATGTATAATGGGTGATTAGAAAAATATTTTTTCACCTGGTGCTGAAAAAGTGGATCAGATGCTTATTTTGCATGTGTCTATTAAGTACCAACGGATAGGTAGGCCGCAATAGTGAGTTGCGTCATGTAAAAATGGATCATGTAAGAATAGTAAGATGGATACGTGTCAACACGATAGTTTGACTCTTCTCTAGTGGTTTGGTCCCATATAACCGGAAAAAAAACAACTCTTGTGTTTTTAGTTCATTTTGAGAAGACGAACTTAGCTCTACAAAGGAGCCGGGGTTCGCGCGCTCTCGGGGTGTCCACCTCGCCGCGATTAAAGCGGTCGTGTGCGATCACGATGGCTCTACCTCACCCACACGGCTTGGACTCTAGAAGCTGTGTGTCGGCCTAATTCCTCAAGCCCTGTGATGCACGCTTACTCCCTCGGCTCACATGTGCCTGCCTTCCTCCGCTCGCCTCCTAAATCGCAGCCCTGCGTCCGCTCAGTACCATCCAGCCCCCGTGCATGGCCTCGCCACAGTCGTGCCGGTTCCTGGCGTCTTGGCATGGGGGCCCCAAGGTGCCGCAGCCACAGCATAGGTGGCCTCCGGCACGACGGTGGTGCGAACCTAGGTCATGACCCATGCATGTCCCACTGTTGTGAAAGTAAAAATAGTTCATTGATAAAATGTGTGAAGCTAAAGCCAGAGCTCTACCAAAGTGGACCTTATTTTTTGTTCACTTAGTGCACTGGTTTATTTGATCTATCTAACGGTTACCTAGGATGGCAACCTTCATTGGCTGCCTAGATGCTGAGGCATTGCAAAGATAGTGAAGCCTTTTGTACGGAAAAGTTGATAATGCCCTTAAGCTATGTTGAAAAAATGCACACTATTTATTATAGAGCAAATAATATTATTATACACATGGAAATTGTAAAGGTTAACTTTTTTCATACCGTAGTGTGTCAAAAATATGAAGTAGACATAGAGGAAGCTGATAACAACCTTGTAAGAATACAAAATGGCACAAGGGACACCATTTTCATTCCTCTTGCAATGTTTAAAACCAGATTAACATGGATCCATCAGACATGGGCCAGCTGGACCAGCCCAGCCCAGAGGTGGTTGCTGCCCCACCACCAGCTCCTAGCCCCTAGGGTCGGGTAGGAAAGCCACACCCCTTCCTTGCATAAAAGCGACTTGTTTAGGAAAGTTAAGCTTGAGTCAGGAAAGATGGATCACTACTATAAGATTCCATACTTCAGTTTACCTTGGGAGCTAAGTTGATGGCCTCTACATATATAATGAGAGGTGATGTACCTACGGAATTAAGCAAGAAAAGTGGACCAATCTCATTATCCTGCTCCATGACTCTCCCTGCCACTGCCTGTCTCACTGTCTAGCTCCGAGCTGGCAAAAGAACTCCTTAAGCTGGTTTGGTGGCTTGTTTCAGAATAGCTCTGATTACACTTGTTTTTACTTTTATAATCAAAATTAGATGCTTTGATTGCAAGTCGACTTCATTGTGGCTCGATTCGGCTCAGCGCGGTTAGAAGTTGGGTCTCAAATGATATAGACTGTAACAAATATAAAATAAATCAATTTTAAACAAAGCTCAAAAAAGCTATAGTTGGCTCTTTGTCCACCCCTAAGTGCCACCACCCTTCCCCACATGATGCGCATGGCGCCTCTGCGCCTCCACCATTTTCCCTTGCAGCCAGTGAGATATAGTTGCCAGTAAAGTCACTACTGCCTCGCCTCACCACCAACCAAACTACGCCCCCAAAAAAATCCTCAGAGGACCATAATTGAATGCAACTAGCAATAAAAAAGGGAACCTGGTGTCGTTAGTGTTGGACTGCTGGAGTAGTGGAGTAGCCATGTTGCAGTAAGACACCCTTATACAGGATCATGAATTATACAAGAGTGCCTTCCTAGCATAAGAAGTGCATTTTACCTAGAATTTTTGTATCCATACATAGAACATGTACTACATCTACAAATTTTATTTTACATACTTTGGCCAAAGGGGTGTCAGTTGAGTACTTGAGTATGCTCCCATAAAGATATTTCTGATCCAGAATGGTAGTATTTCTATGTTTCTACTTTTGTTAGGGACAAATTATGAATAGTACAGAATTTTATGTTTCCTCAAGAATGCAAGCCTCCACAAAACACAAGCTCAAAGAAAATTAGAAGTAATCCACCATAATCAAGTCAACGTCCTGTAGACACACGAGGTATTTGTGTATAAACCAAATTTTTGTACCCTGATAATATATTCCCCCATCTGCTCCTCAGTACACACATATGGGGATATCAAGGTGAACCCATCATTCAAAGAATCCAACACGCCTTTTGTTTATTGATTGATAATGAAGCATTCAGCATGAGAACAGTATATGCACCTGAAGAGATCGAACTTGCTTCAACAAAGCTTCAGAACATGCCATGAGGTTACCCTTGGTCTTATGCCATCTTGCATACAAACCCCATATGTCCGCATTGCTGCCTCCACTTCGCACAATCTGCAAACACAAGCAAGATATTAACTGCAATCTGGTATCTAGTATAAGATGAAATACAATCCTGAGAGGTTGGTAACCTGCTGAAGGATATCACCGATAATATCTAACAATTGATTGGATTGTCTTGTCTCTTTATTTGCATCATCTGATGCTTTGTGAGTATCAACAAAATTTGGAGATTGTTCTTCAAGTGTTGTCATCACCTTGTCCAATATACCAACATTAAAGCGCTTGTTTGAAGATAAATTCAATACAGTTTTCAAAGCTTCAAGTGTCTGCAGAGGGAACTTAATATTATTTGAAGATTCATTTTGCAAAAAAAAAAGGAGGGGGGGGGCGGGGGTGTTCGACATTATCTACTGCATATGTTCAAGGAACACTAGCACCTTTGAACTAAATGCATGAGTAAAATAGTGAACAAAACCACTGATAACAAAATGTCCTGCGAAAGCAGAAATATCAAGTCAATTTCTCGAAAGACATACTTACCAGTCGAATATTCCCTGTGTCCAAAGCAACTTTACTGTAATTTTCCCAGATTTCCCAGCTATTCCTCCTACAAATAATATATTGTTAATTTATAAATTCTATTACTGGACTTTATGGACATCAAGTGGAACATACTTGAACTTTACAGCTTCCCTAAATGCTTGGACTGCTGCTTGGCTTTTCCCTCTAATCATGTGCCTACATAATTAGCTACATTAAAGGTCGATACAAGATAAAAATGATAGCACAAACAAACATCATCAATAAATCTTAATTAGCTATTCCCCCTACAGAACATATCAATCGCACCCGACCATTACATTGCTCACATGAGCTCTGTACAGCATAACTTCTATACCATGTGATCTATTTTGTCTTTTTTTTTATGGAACAATAACGATTGTTCTAAAAGGCTAATAAACCAACAGACTGGCAAGTACTAACAACCAATGAGTGCTTGATAAGAGTAACACAAGGCTCGACTCAATGTACACAAATTTCAACGAAATAATTTTTGAAAGATAGACCATGATGCACAACAGCATAATACCACAGAGAGAAATGCCAAAACCAATATATTCTACAGAGCAGATTGAATTGACAAGGAAAACAGCAAGATCAAAATAAAATAGAAAATATCAACAGCGCAAATTGGGGAAGGGTGTCATTGGCAAGCCTTACCCTCGCCTGTGTCAAATGCGAGGAGACCGCGACTTCAAAACACAGAGCAAAATTTAATGACATGGTAAATCAGGGCACATAATGTTGGAGGTACAGAGTGTTTTTACTCAGCCAGGGATAACACACCCAGGCGACTGCTCTTTCATATATAGGAGATAAGTAGCACATTGATTACATTGATGGCTCATTAGAGCATTAATTAAACAGCTAACTGCCTGGGTACTTGCACAGTCACTTGTGCTGCCCAAGGCCTTAATAGTAGAAACATAATTAAGCACAGATAACTAAGTGATAACTGGGAGCAGGACTTAACTTCTACAGTTCTCCCCCTAAGACCTGCTTCCCCCATCCTTGATCTTCATGATCCCAATCTTGCTTCTCATGTCTTCAAACTTGGCCTTGCCTAAGGCCTTAGTCAGAATGTCTGCCAGTTGATCATTTGTGGCATTTAACTCGGTCTTGATGTCTGCCTTCTTCAACACAATCTCTGATGAAGTGTTGTTTGATTCGATATGCTTGCTTCATCATGAAAGACAGGGTTCTTTGCAAGTGCTATTGCTGATTTGTTATCCACTCGCAGCTCTACTACTTCCACTTTCTTTCCCAACAATTCAGCAAGTAACCTGGACAGCCACAGAGCTTGTGTTGCAGCAGTAGTCATGGCAACATACTACGCTTCACAGCTAGATAAGGCAACCACTCTTTGTTTAATGGATCGCTAATCCACTGTTATTGTTGCCTAGGAAGAATAGACAACTTTGTAAATCTTGCTTGAGTCAATATCTCCAGCCAAGTCTCGAGTCACGATAGCTAATGAATCTGGCTTCACTTTGGATGCCTTGGTGAAGTGCGCAGCCATACTCAATTTTTGCCACATACCGAAGGATACGCTTCACTTTGCTGGCGATGCTCTATGGTGGGCCTCTCCGAAATCTACTCACAAACCCGATTGCAAATGCCAAGTCAGGTCAGTATGAACCAAATATCGCAGGGCTTCCAACCAAATTTACTGTCATTGTGTTGGATCAACTTCCTTGGCTGTACTCTTCTTGCTCAATCTTAGCCTTTCCTCCATAGGAGTATTTCACTGGGTTGCGTATCCACCATACCACCCAATTCCAAAGATCCTTTTGGCATAGTGAGTCTGTCTAAGGGTGATGCCATCGGTGCTCATTGCACTTCAATGCCCAGATAGAAGCTTAAGAGCCCGAGGTCACTCATCTCAAATGTTGCTTTCATTTCAGCCTTGAAGCTTTCAACATCCTGCTCTTTGGCCCCTGTGATGATCAAATCATCCACATACACACCGACAAGCAACAGAGAGTTTCCGAACCTCGCCTATAGATTGCGACTTCATGGTTGCTTTGTTCAAAACCTTTCTTCTTCAATGTTGAATCAAGCTTTGCATTCCATGCTCTTGGTGCTTGCAAGGCCATACAACTTCTTGTCCAAAGAACAACAAAGCCAAAGTGGTGATGCACATATACCTCCTCGTTGAGGTCTCCATTCGTAAATGCGGACTTGACGTCCATCCGATGAATGCAGACCAACCTCCCAGTGCCGCCAGAGCCAACAAGACTCGAACGGATTCCATGCGCGGCAGGCGATCATCATCATAATCCACGCCTTTTCTTTGGACAAAGCCACGAGCGACAAGTCCGGCTTTGTGTTTGATAACATTACCGTGTTCGTCCTTCTTCAATTTGAACACCCACTTGTGGTGATTGGGCGGTGACCAGCAGGAGGCTTCACAAGCTCCCGTGTCTTGTTTCTCTCATCGATCGCAGCTCTTCTTTCATTCTTTGCGCACACTATCTCTCTTGGCTTCAATGATCGGGTTGGTTCACCAGAGTGCGTTAGATGCGGCAATTCAAAAGCGATTACATAGCGAAGTGGTTCATCCTCGTGATAAGCATCCAATCGATCATCATCATCCTCCGGGCGCAGCATGCTCAATCCCGAGGACTTGGTGGCGGTGGTGACACTTCCAAAGCATTGGAGCGAAATTAACTTGAGGATGAGTTGATGCGGAGCCTCTGCTCCTTCAACTCCAATTGGGCTGTTTGAAGCGGGTGTTCTTGGTGAATCCGGGGCAGAGGCGACGACGGCGGCGGCAGTTCGTTATTTCGCCTCCTCGACCGAGACATACTCAATCGTGAATTCACTGCACATTCACACCGATGGCCCAGATTCAAGCGAGGACCAATCCCACCATGTTCTTCATCAAATACAACATCACGGGTTGATCCTCGACATCGCTCCACAGGCTCAAACACCCTATATGCCTTAGCTCCTTCACGCATAACCAATAAACACGCCGCCTCGCCATGGTCATCAAGTTTGCTTGTTGGACCGAGCTTCCTTGTGTATGCCACACACCCAAACACTTTCATGTGTCCCAGAGTTGGTGAACGCCCATGCCGAGGCCTCATATGGGGTGATCCCCTTCAACGCACGTGTCGGTGATCGGTTCAATGTGGATCACTATCATCACAACATACGAAATAAGCAGTTCCCTCGCTTAGCAAAGGTGCCCTTGCCATAACTTGACCGATTGATTCGCCGCTCAACTACCCCATTCTGGCCGAGGTGAGTGGGGAGCAATCAAGTGCCTCTTAATGCCTTGTTGCTTTGAGGTAGCGAAATCAAGAATCGTGAATTCTCATTATCGGTGCGGCTTTCCCCGATTTTCGACCACTCTCTCGCCTCTGCGCTCGCTTTGATGCGCTTGATGGCTTCAACCGCATCCTTGCTTGGTATGAGCGCTTGCCCACATGAAACGGCTAGCGTCATCGACGAAAGCGCCAGAAATATCGATTCCCTCCGGTGTTGCAGGTGTCCTTTGGTCCATATCGCCGTGCACCACTCAAGGGGCTGTTTGGCACGGATCAAAGAACGGGCGCCTTCTCATTTTGGTGGTGACACAGTGTGTCACACACACTCCCACATGGTCAATAACCGGACACCAGCAAGTCTGCGGAGTGCATCAAAATTCAAATGCCCCATCCTCTCATGCCATTGCCACGCTTACATCTCCTCTCGCATCTTTGCAAGACAAAGTGGTCATTTGCATGAAGTTGGAGTGTGTACAATCTGTTAGCCCCTCTCTTCACCTTGGCAATCAAACGGCGCGTGTGTTCCCGATCACGTAACACGTCGTGATATATCTCCACCTTGGAGCCGTCTCGTCAAGTCGACCCTAGGCCGATAATGGAATTCTTCGTATTTGGTATATAGTACACACCCCCGCACCCCTATGCTCACCAGTTCTTCCTTCGAAAGCAATCGAACCGATGCCTTTGATGTCAACCTTGGACGCATCTCCAAATCGGACCGTGCCTCGCCGCGTCCGTGTTCAAGTCGAGAAAAAGAGCTCACGCCGTCCGGTCATATGGTGTGTAGCTCTCAATCAAGGTACCACACATCTTGGCACCAAGGAAGGCGCGGCTTTTGGTTCTTCCAGATTCACCTCTTGAGCAAAGATAGGTGTATGCCGGCGCACTTATCAAGATCAACGAGCCCATGCGCCGTAAACGAGCCCCATCATCCTCGCATTCTCGCATAATTTGACACGGCCATTGTGGCGCCACATCGTTTCGGCCACCACCAACAGTAATTGCCACCACCGCGCGCCGCCACGCCACGACGGCCTCTGCCCGTCAGCGCCGCCATCACACCGCCACCATCACGGTCACCATCTCTGTCTCGCCGTGGATGAGGGCATCTCTTGCCCGATGGCCCCCCGCCACAATTGTGGTGAGATGTCGCACAATATCCACCATCAATAGGCCGCCACGAACTTTGAACTAGAGCCAACGAGAATCATCCCGCGCCGCCTTTCTTCTCCTTCTTCCAACGTCGCGCGCCATTGCTCCTCGGTATACATGAGCTTGCCGCCGACGGTGATTGGCTCGAATCAATGTACCTTGAGCCTCCCGAAGGCTTCCTCAAGCGTGAGCATGTCAAAGTCCGTAAACCGCTCAATAGCAACCACAATCTGCGCATACTTCGACGGCATCAGACGCGCAGATATTTCTCCACCACACGCCTCTCGCCGATGTCCCGATCACCATGAAGGACAAAGGCGCCGATCAGAGTTGAGAGGCGGAAGGCAAAATCTTCGACGCTCTCTCCCTCGACTTGACACCGATGTTCTCCCGATCGCGGCGGATGCGTTGCAACACCACTTCCACGCCGATTCAATATGAGCGGAATCCCCATCTCCTTGGGGAACCGCTATGACAATCGCCTCCATAGCCCGCCGGTCGTCATGAACGAGACCCGCTTCTCCTTCAATCTGCGTCCCACAGATCGCGGGCTCAAGTTTTCAAATTCGTTTTGGACAAGATCGGCCAATTCGTGCATTGCCGAGAGTCCCCTCAGATACGACCCTATCGTTTGACTACTTCCGACGCCTGCCATCAACCAGCTGGCAAAAAGAGATGGAGACCTCCTACGCGGGCTCTTCCTCTTCTTCCTCCTCCTCTCCTTCTTCTTCTTACTCATAATCTCCTACATCTGTGCCTTGCCGCAAAGCCGCCTCCTCTGCCCTGCAATTCTGCAAGCTGCAAGCTGCCAGGGTGTCCTCCAGATCGCCGACGCCCCTTGGCGACCTTCCTTCCCGGGCTCGAGAAGATGTCGAGGCCATGGATGAGAAAGCAGGGAAGGGGGCTCGAGTAGAAGATGAGAGTGAGGTGTCTAACCTAGGCTCTGGTACCAATTGTTGGAGGTACAGAGTGTTTTTACTCAGCCAGGGATAACACACCCAGGCGACTGCTCTTTCATATATAGGAGATAAGTAGCACATTGATTACATTGATGGCTCATTAGAGCATTAATTAAACAAATAACTTGCTTGGTACTTGCTTGCATCCTTGTGCTTGCCCAAGGCCTTAATAGTAGAAACATAATTAAGCACAGATAACTAAGTGATAACTGGGAGCAGGACTTAACTTCTACACATAACACCTAGTCAAGCATAAATGCTAATGACATTGCACATCAGGCCAAACCATCAGCATCCTAATACAAACAAGGAACAAGTATAGAAAGTGATATACAGGCAGGCTATGTTGTTCCATGCTTCTCCATTCTCAGGATCTATCTGTACAGCACGACTAAACGATCCACAGCTTTGTCAAGATCCTTGTCCTGTATGAACACATAAACAGTAAATCTATTTGACAACATATATTCTAAGGAAGCAACAAAGCTGATAAGTAAAGGTAATAGAAGCAAGCGGGAACATAAAGGCAAAATCATGTTGCCACAACCAAATTTAAGGTAACAAAGCATTGCCATGCCAAAGCATGACATGATAGTTGACTCCACACTCAAGTTGTCATGCCAACAGCCCAACACATGACATGATATTTGTCCAATATTTTAAATGCTGTGAAAAACACGATATTTCCCGCCTATGATATGATAAATTGATAATTAGTTGATGTTAAGGTATAATAGTCAAGGGTATTAGTGTAATCTCCTAGTCTAGGGTTTTCCTCTCGTGTCTCTCATGTACTCTATATATAGTTTCCATTGGGCCTCAATATAATCATCCAGTTCAGTCTCTCTTTATCCGTAACAGTTGAAACTTGAAAGCATATTTTTAGGAGCCTAAAGCCATAATGGGAAAACCTTAAAAAGAACCTTGTCTTAACTTCCACAAGGCAGCAGTCTGATCTCTAGTTCCATATTGCCAGAAATGCAAAACAGTAAGTTGCAAATAAGTAGTGATCCATAACAATGAAGAAAATAGCAAGACAGTCTTATTCAAATAATTATACAAAACTTCCGTTCTAAGAAATGTAACTACTACATATGCAGAATAAAATATCCATACATACTTTCTCTTTGCAAAAGAATTTGAAAATTCGTAAAATTACCTTCCATGCAGCTGTGCCATATGCAAACCAGCCATCTGGAATCAAAGAGTTCAACGACAATGCAGATTCCCTATTCAAAGTTCAAAAGCAAGAGATTTTGCAAGTTATTGACAACGAATCAACGATAAACAACATTTTTGCTTAAGATAGTCTTATACCACAGGATTTTGGATGTATGGAAGTCATTCCTGTTGTACGCACTGCGAGCCAGAGAACGCTACATGAAAAAGTAAGATGCTGTGAGAACGGTTCCACAATAGAAGAGAGAAACTGCACAATTGGATGTCATTGATGGCCCAAACAGCAAGGGAAAGCAATGATGTTGCATTGCTTCATTCATGACTATCTATCTGAACCTACTTTATCTCAATGTCACTCAGCACCTCACGTTTACAATTAAGCCTATCAACTACTTTTACTTTAGGCTTCAACACAAGATAAACTGTCTCATTCTTCAACATGAGACAACTTAACTGTTAACTGTTAAGCAAGTGCGTAGGGTGGCACAGCATGAGGAAACACAGTTGGCACATGACCAGAGTGTATCCAGATCCAATGTAAGTTACGGAACTTTGAGTGTGTGTGTGTGTGTGGAAAACATGATTGGAACTTCTTTAAACTTGCACATATCCAACTTTATTAAGATAATACAAACCTTTGAAGTTTCAAGTACGAGGTTTAGATGAAACTCAAATATTAAGAAAAGAAGGGGCAAAAGATGTTGCAAACTCAAACCCACAAACACTAAATCACAAAAAAAAAGGAACACCCTTTGATAAATAGAAAAGGCTTGGATGAAACTCCATGAAAAATAAATGTTCTTCTTTACTAGAAGTTGACTTCTGAACTCTCTGGAAACTAGAAGTTTTCTTGTGAGCCTAAATCAGATTCATCAACAAATCTAATTTATTCCTCCAAGCACAACCAGAAAACAAAATAGCACCTAATTCGAATATGTAGGTTCAACAGCACTTCAAAGCAGATAGATGTTTGTGGACCACGGATTGTACAAAATCGGTTTTTTCTTAACGGACGATTGTACAAAATCGTTACAACATATCACTTATCAAAGTGCTTTATAACTCCACATCCTTTTCTGGTAACTCCAGTATCATATTTATGGTAATCTCAGTAAGGCTTATGCTTCTCCCAACAGCTCTTATGGATCTGAAGTGACAGAGGCTGAGCCTACAGATTAATTAGATTAGACACTAAGAGGCCATTCACTTTAAAACAAATATAAAACCTGTCTTGAAGCTTTAAAGTTTCATCAAGACATGTGGAAACATGCTCAAATCAGAACATGTTTGAAACTCTCTCAACCTTGGTCTGAAAACTTTGGTGCTAGGTGAATGAGCTATCCTATTGTCATTAATACCATTTCCTAATCCAATTCCTATATACAATGATCCGCCACAAACAAGATGATCAAGGAAACTGAAAAGAATTAACATCAACTTTACCATAGCTCGGGCTGATTTACTATTTGATACTTCCAATGCCTTTTTATAATGATCGTCATTATTTGTAACATCACCAAGTGAACACCTAAATGAGAGTCTCTCATCAGATAGCAAAATGCAAGGAAACAAAAAGTAAACATGAGGTAGAACATGATCATTCCAAACAATAAACGCTAGAAGTTGGTAAATCACTCAGCAATCCTTTATTTGTATTTGTTTTGACAATAATCAAGAATTTTTAACTGTTCTATCTACAGACTTTATGATATTGTCTTCAGTATATTGCAGTTCTTATACTAGACAGGACAATTACTAGGGAGATACCTGAAAAGGTAAAAACTGAAATGATATTTTGTGCATCTAAGATTTAATTTCTTTTGGAGAGAGATTGTGAAGAACAATCTTTAGGGTCGTATTCTGACATCACTCTTTACAATAGTATTTATCTATTGTCTTGAAAGGGTGGGACTATTCAATCTGACAGTCGTATACCACGTTAACGGGAGAGCAGTCATGCATTCAATCTGCATGCCATAAGGGGAGTCACAGTCGGAGGAAACTGAGAAAAAAAAAAGGAGAGAGAAGCTTCGGTGACGAATACTTCTGGAAAACGAGATTTTGCTCATACCACTTAAAACTTTTGGACAGGACTATAAGGCAAGAAATAATTGCTTAAGAAGATGACAGAGAATTTGTAACATTTATTCAAAAATGCAAAATAGTCCCAAGATACTCACCATAACCTTGGGTCATTTGGTGTAACAGAAAGTCGAGCATTTATTAGACTAACTGCATCAGCCACTTTACCTAATAATCTGCCAAATAACAGAACTTCAGTGTATGTTACGGCAAAAGATTCAACTGAATGTAGGACGGTTCTATTTCAAGTTGAAATGCATACCGATAGCAATATATTAAATTGTCCCACAATTCAAGATCTTTAAATATATTCAGTGCTTCTCCAACTATGCCACAACTGATCAAAAGTTCGCCATATTCTCTTGAGTAGTAAAACAAGTCCAAGTCACATTAGTGTTCCAGAAAGGAAGAACAAAGAAGCTTATATATATTACTGCATACTTCCTCAATGCGGGAAGAGTTGGCATATGAACCGCAAAAACCATTTTAACTCTTTGTGGGGCAGAAGGGAATTCTTTGCCGATATCTTCAGCCTAATAATATACATTGAATTTGTATATTAGGTGCGATATACATTGAAAAAACAAAGCTTCTCAATCAAACCTAAAATGAAGTGTTTAAAGTACAACACTGGCAAAAGTCTGGAAAAAAACAGGCCAGTTGCTCAGGCCTATCCAGTCAAGTTGGACCTACAAAGATATTGATAGCAGCAGCTCACAAGTAATGTAAAGATCTCAGTATAACCAACTTCACTTCTGATCTGTGAACATTGGAGGGGGGAAAGTCTACTTAACTATGTATTCTCAAGTCTCAACCACAATGGTCAATTATCAGCATGATTTCAGAGAGGGGGGAGGGAGAGAGGAGAGGGGGAGCGAGGGGGGGGTAGAGGGACACCGAGAGGGTGGGGGGGGGGTAGAGGGAGACGGAGAGGGAGAGGGAGACAGAGAGGAGGGATGGATGGAGGAGAGAGAGAACAAAGGGTAAATGGAACTGGAGGAACAAATATTCATTAGAATTGAAATTATTTTGCATTCAAAATTTTCAACAGATATGGTTCTGCCATGAAACTGTTAGATGAAGAATGTAACTGTAAGTTTTGAGCATCATGGTTAGGAATTTAGGAACTAGAAAGTTACCCAAAAATAGATAACAAATAACCTAAATCAACAGATTAGTTAATCCCGGAACAAGTGCAGGTAGCAACCAACCTATTAGTGCAATTTTAGGGTCTTAGGGAACCAATGAAAACCAGGAAGCAACTGAAATAATATACCCACATACAATTTTGGTCTTGTACGAAAGCAAAGTGTTAGTCATCCAAACAATAAAATAAACAAAGTACATGGAACAATGGCATAGATAAATATCAAAGGCCTGATGAGTTGCAAACATGCAAATACTCTAGTGATCGGGAAGCCAAAAATATAGGCAAACTGCAACCATAATGAAAAAGATACTGTCTACCTGAAACCTGAATGAACACCCATATATATAGATTGTGATTATTATTTGAACCTTTGAACAAAGATTATACAATCTGATAGGTGATTCATCCCTTACCAAATTCTCCATCATTAGTAGTGCCCGCTGCTTTGTCCGACTGAATTGGTCTCTCCCATCTAACACGCAGTATATCGCACAAACTCCTGATCTGAAATAAGAAAAAAAATATATACTTCTCTGATATTCACCAAGCTATCCTTATTATATTTTCACAGACGCAGGGAAAACTTGAGTAAACGATAGTGAATTATCCAAATATTGTTTGAGCACAGAAACGAGATCTCCATAACAGAAATAAGGTTGGAGTCAAAATTGTGGAATGACATCCCATGCATAGGTTGTGGGCCAACACATGACATTAACAATCAGAGTAGACATTGAAGGATAAAAAGGCTTGCACAATGTTAAGAAAAAAAAGAGTGAGCCTCAAGCAGTCAAGCAACCGAATCTTGATTTTTATGTTTTTGTGTTAGAACAAGAAATGGTGCCACACATGTTTCCACCAGAGCAATATAGTGCAATCAGAATCATACCACAAAGTAAGATTCCTCCTGAGAATCGATTGACTCTATGTATGGTGCCATCTCCCACCCTGCATATAAAACCAAAAAACTTACACATGATGATAACATAAACAATCATTTGGGAAATATATACTAAAATCCAGTTACACACACAGCATGAAAAAATACTGTAGTACTTCAAAAAATTGTATCCTCTCTCCAAAAAGACAAGGTCAATTGTTTGAATAATGGTCTTGTCCATAAATGTTAGGCTTATTTCACCTTCCAATGCAAAAGATGTGCTGTCTCCTACGTACTGTTAAGGTATAATAGTCAGGGGTATTATTATAATCTCCTATGTATTGTTAACGAACACAAATCTATCACTTCGCATCCTCATATGCATGCATTCAACATTGTAAGAGACACGAATTAGGGTAGTCCAGTAATCTTTTATGCATTCTTGGTTCATGTGCTAAGATAAGACCTACTTCATACTTTTGTCTGAGGGAGTATGCAATATTAAGTAAAAAGAAATGGTCCGCATACAAATAAAAACTGAAATGGCATGTTAAACTATGACATAGCTTGATTTTCAATGCCATCTACTAAACAAACTTTTTTTCATTTGGAATCTGAAATTCCTCCATGCAAAAAAAAAATGTCTGTCACTTTTAATTCAGAATTTTCAATGCCTTCACATGATCAGAATAAACTAAACGCTATTACTAAAGGAGCTACTTTATTCTCCATGCATATATGTGAAAAACAACTAAACCAGAACTCTCATTTAAAATAATTTAGAAAGTATGACAATTGAAGCCATCTTTGTCACCCAGAACTCTATTTGCAAACAAGATTGTGATGCCAAATAAACTTCTTTGCATGCTTAAAATAGGAGGGGGGAAATCACAAGTGTCCACAGGGAATGAAAACAGACATACCAGACATTTCATCACTACGACTCCTCCGGCTCACATGCAAGCATTGTGCAAGTACAGCAGCCTGCTGTATAGCCGATAGTGATATTTTTGCAGTGTGGTTTGTTGTATCTTCACTGGCAGAATTACTCCCATCATGCACCAGTCTGGGCATTCTTAGTATGTCACAGAATTCATCGCCTTCAACAGGATCGAAGCTCCTTGCATTTTTTAAAGCTGCATTGTCATTCTGAGCTACTGTGGGTTCTGTCACTTGTCCTTCATCAGAGCCCGATTTATTGGTCTTCGCAACAAGCACCATTTGAGACTTTGCATCCACCTATAACAATAGCTGGATCGCTTCATTTTTCAAGAACAGATGTTCACTCTTTATAACAATAGATAGAAAGGTCAAACGCTATTGTTACTCCTCCATTTTGACATGCGAGTCCATTTCCTTAGGCCCTGTCATTTGACTAAGTATGTCTATTTCAGGAAACAGATGGTGTAGTTACTCAAATACATCCTTTCTCTACTCTACTTCAATGCTGTAAAAGAGGTTTGCAGTATGCCACTGCAGTATCTGTAGTAAAATAAAATGCAAATAATATTTGTCCGACTTAGAATCTTCCTAGCTTGTGTGCACGGTAAGCTTGGATTTGGTGAAAAGGAGAAACTAAAAGGTACTGCCTCCCCAAATTATAAGACGTTTTGCTATTCTAGATACATAGTTTTTTTGCTATGCACTTAGATACATGCTATGTCTAAATACATAGTAAAAGCAATGTATCTAGAAAAGCCAAAATGTCATAATTTGAAACGGAGTATGTTTCTTTTAGTATGTTTTGCGAAACAAAGTGATGTATCTATCAATCAAACTAAGAGGACATGGTATACAAAACATAAAGAAAAAAGATCAGAGTGCAGTATAATTCACCTGGTGTATTGTTCGAAAACCAAGGATTCCTGTAAGGGAGAGGTGCAGACCACATGCTTCTTGTGCGCTATTGAGATGCAACCTACCCAAACACCCAGACAAGATCGTAAGTATATGTTCATAAATGGCTATCAGTTTTCCAATCCTATGCAGTTTGAATACATATTGGCTGAATGCCCAAGGATATGTTTATGGTTGCTGACTTGCTGTGCCATGCTGTGCTGCACTGCACAGGTTACCAAGCTTACTATGATTTTTCAGTTACAGATCCTAAAATGATGCTTCCAATCAGTGGCGGAGGATAGTTAAAGGCCAAAAGGGGTCATGCCTGCCAACACATCCACCCCAAAAAATGTTAGTTGCTGAATTCTTACTTTTGGTAGTAGCAGAATTCTTACTCTCATCGAGAGAGGATGACGCTAGGAGTTGAGGCAATTTTCTGGTTTATTTCTCACACAAATGCCATGCCAACCTGAGGGGTTGGGGATATATATTTATAGGATGCTAGCCAGCCAAGCATATGCCAAGATGCTAGATGCTAAGATGCTGTCCTAAAACAGATGTTGTCCTAGATGCCAGTCAAAGATGTTGTTCTTGATGGGCAGCAAGACCACCATGCAGCCATGCAGCCACAAGGACCATATGCTGCAGCCCCACAAAGACCAGCCAACACAGAGACTTATCCCATCATTTTCCCCCTAAGTCTTGTGCGTCGTCTTGTGGGAAAGTTGAACCATCCCGGTCCTGGAGCACAGCTCAAGGAACTTGATCCTCCCAAGAGGCTTGGTAAGTAGGTCCGCAAGCTGGTCCTTGGTGTTGATGTAGCTCGCCTTGATGCTCCCGTCCTCCAAACAGCCTCGGATGAAGTGGTACCTCACCCGGATGTGCTTACTCCGTTCATGGAAAACGGGGTTCTTTGCTAAGGCCAGAGCGGACTTGCTGTCCATCCTGAGCTCCACTGCTCTAGTGTCTCTGCCGAGGAGATCACCAAGCAGTCGAGCGAGCCAGAGCGCCTGAGTCGAAGCGGTGGAGGCCGCTATGTACTCGACCTCGCAGTTGGACAGGGCCACCACCTGCTGCTTGACCGACTGCCAGCTAACGAGGCACTTGCCGAGGAGGAAGAGGATCCCGCTCGTGCTCTTACTGATGTCGATGTCGCCGGCGTGGTCGCTGTCGCTGTACCCGACGAAGTGTGCCGCCCCAGGGCACCTAGGGTAGTAGAGGCCGTGGTCGAGAGTCCCCGCAACGTAGTGGATGATCCTCTTCACAGCCTGCTGGTGCTCCCTCGTCGGTCGCTGCATAAACCGACTAACGTAGCCGACGGAGAATGCCAAGTCCGACCGTGTGTGGGCGAGGTAGCGAAGGCTCCCCACAAGACGCCGGTACTACGTAGCGTCCACCTCCTTCGTCGTGCTGCCGTGGCTCAGCTTCAGCCTCTCCTCCATCGGAGTGAGAGCTGGGTTGCAGTTGGTGAGCCCAGCTAGCTCAACGACGCGCTTGGCGTAGGCGGTCTGTCGAAGCGTGATCCCGGAGTCATCCTGGTGCACCTCGATTCCCAGGTAGAAGGAGAGAGGCCCCAGGTCACTCATCTGGAAGATGGCCTTCATCTCTTCATTGAATGCCGCCACCTCCGCATCCTTGGTGACGGTGATCACCAAGTCGTCGACGTAGACACCCACCAGCAGAGCATTTCCTTTAGCGTCGGTAGATGGCCGCCTCGTGCGGGCTTTGCTCGAAGCCCATCCCCTTTAGCGTGGAATCCAACTTGGCATTCCACGCCCTCGGTGCCTGCCGCAAGCCATAGAGGGCCTTGCGTAGGCGGAGCACCTTGCCCTCCTTGCCGGGGATCGCAAATCCCGGCGGCTGATGCACATAGACCTCCTCCTTCAAGTCGCCGTTAAGGCACGCCGACTTGACGTCCATGTGATGAACACGCCACCCCTCTGGCGGCTAAGCGCAAGGAGGAGTCGCGACGGACTCCATCCGTGCCACGGAGCAAAGGCGTCGTCGAAGTCGACCCCTCTCCCCGCCGCACGAAACCTCGTGCCACTAAGCGAGCCTTGTGCTTGACAATAGCGCCGGCTTCATCCCTCTTCACCTTGTACACCCACTTAAGGGTGATCGCGCGGTGACCATGAGGAAGGTCGCCAAAGCTCGCCAGTCGGTTCTTCTCGACCGCATCCATCTCCAATCGCATCGCGGCGCGCGCATGCAGCGTGTCTCTCGGCCTCGCAAACGACCGAGGCTCGTCGTAAATCACACACGCAAGGTGCAACTACGCCTCGGATCGTGAGGCACCGGTCCCGCACCGGGCCGGTCGCCAAGAAGGTTCTCCATCGTCACGGTATCATAGCGGCTCGCCGTCGTGGTACGCGTCGATGCGCTCCTCGTCGTGAGAGCGGAGTAGCGAGCTCAACCGGCCTGTGCTCGACACAAGCTGGTGTTGGAGTAGACGTGCCCGGAGAGGTGCCTGTTGGTGCTGGAGTGCGTGGCGGTGCCGGCTGTGGTGGAGCCGGCGAAGAACTCATCGCACCGAGGTCCCGGCCGGAGAGCGTGGTCTTTGTCGCGGATGGCAGCGCCGGTCGGTGGAGGCTCGGGGGCTCGGGGTAGACGCGCTGTCGAAGAAGAGCTACCTACTCCCCTCTCCTCGGCGGGACATGCTCGACAATGAAGTCGTCGTACGTCGGAGCCGAGCCGTCGTCCACCGCCTTGTCCCACGCCCATCCTCGCCCTTCGTCGAACACAACGTCGCGCGCCGTGCCCACACGCTGTGTCTTCGGATCGAGGATGCGGTAGGCCTTCGAGCCCTCCACGTAGCCGATGAACACTCCCGGAGTGCTCCTGCCGTCGAGTTTCTTTGATGTGGCCAAGCTCCTTGGCGAACGCGAGGCGCGACCAAGACCCGCAAGTGGGAGACCGCCGGCTTGCGCCCATGCCAAGCCTCGTCACGCGTCCCCGCTGCCGAGCGCGCTTTGGTAGTAAGCGGCGTTGAGGATGTAGACGGCCGACACCACCGCCTCTCCCGGAAAGACACCGGCATCCCCTTTGCTTGAGAAGGGCCCGAGCTATCCCCACAACCGTCTGCGTTGTGCCGCTCGACAACGCCGCCGTTCTGCTGCGGCGGCAGACGGTCGGAGGAGTAGTGGCGCCGAATGCCCTCATCAACAGCGATGCGATCGCGACCAAATTACCGTGAATTCGCCATCCGTTGTTTGTCAAGCAGACGCTGCAGCTCTGCGGCAGCTTTGCGTCGCGACTCACGCCCGCAAGCACTTCTGCGAGCGCCGATGGCGTCATGAACCTCTCCCTTCTTTGCCGAGGACCATCACCCACATGTAGCGGGAGAGGTCGTCGACGAGCGCGGCAGGAAGTAGCGTCGTCCTCCCGGTGTGGCCGGTGTCACCGCCACACAAGTCCCCGCACAAGCTCGAGCCTCTCCTTGGCTCGAAACTCGCCCACCGGGAAAGGGGAGTCGCTCGCCGTCAACACGCAGACGCTGCGGAGCTGCTCCACATGGTCGAGGCACGGCAGACTCGCACCATCTCCGTGGGCAACCGAGCCGCTTGGGCCTCGGCGTGAAGGTGCCCGGCGCTCGTGCCATCGCCACGCCCCTCGCGCCGCGGCACAGGCGTCTCTACGCGCTTTGCGCAGCTTTGCCACGCTTGCGGCCGCTTTGTCGCGGAAGAAGGCTCCCCTTCTTCCGGTCACCTTGGCGGCGACCACTCGCTCCCGAGTGAGGAGCTTCCGCCCAGTGGTGATGGGCCCCGAGAGAGCAGGGCTCATCGGCCGTCGACGACCTTGAGGCGACCTTATCGCCTCCTCGATCGACATCGTGGAGAGATCCAAAGAGGGGACTCGATCGAGCGAGCCATCTGCTTGTACTTCTCGGGACGCAGCGGAAGAGCTTTTCGACGCCTCTCCTCGCCGTAGGTGTCATCGCCGAATCGCACCATCTTCTCGCAATGCAGTGTTGAGACGTCCTCACCGGCTTGAAGGCGGTGTTCTCCCACTCCTTGCGAAGTGCCTACGGTGTGGACTTGCGGGTGCGGTCGGCGCCGATCGTGCTGCAGCGATGATGATGGCGTCCCAAGCCTCCTTGGCGATCCGCTTGTTGGTAAGCGAAATCGCATCTCGGGCGGGATCTGCAGCGAGGAGGCATCCAGCTACGCCGATCTCGATCGTAGTCGACGTCGCCGCATCGAATCGCCTCCCACATGTGCCGCACTGGAGCTTTACCCGCATCACCGCGGCCCACTCGGCGTGTTGGTCTTAGTGAGGGTAGGCCACCCACCGCCGGGGGACGGCGTCCACGACAACGTACCGGAGCCCATGGTAACCACGGTACCGATCCAGGGGAGAGAGCCACGCCGCTGTGAAGGCGCGCTCTCCATCGACCCGTCCCGCCACCGTTTGCGTCACGCGCCCTCCTCCAGAGCATCACCGCCGCGGCGCCTCCTCCAGAGGCGCCGCCGCCCAGCGCGTCCGCGCTTATCTGGCTGGCTTTGTCGCGCTTCGTGGGCGTGTCGCGGCGCCCTTCGCGCCGCCGCGCTGTCTGCCTCCTCCTCCCAGCAGCTCGAGGTCCGCGTCGTCATTGCCGTCCCGCAGAAAGCGGAGTTGTTGATGTTGCCGCATGGCCGAGCCTCGACCTCTGCTTCCGACGACGCTATTTGCATCCGCCGCCGCCGCTGCTTCGCCTGCTGCTTTGCTGCCGCCAGCCGCTCCTCCGCCCCGCCATCTCCGCTTGGCTGCCGATCTCGGCGCCCTGCCGCCGCCACGCATGAGCTCTCTCGCCGCCGCTTCGCTGTTCCTCTACCGCGGCAAGTTCGGCCTCCTACCGACGCCACGTGCGTGGTTCGAGGCGATCGAGCGCCGAGATCGCCTTAATGGACATGACGCTACTAATGGGGCTGCAGCGTGGGGAGGGCTGCCAGACGAAGCCGCATAAGGGAGAGGAGGAGGTGAGCGGCGGAGCTGCACTTTGCTCTAGCTGGGTCATGTTGCGGTGGGAAAGGAGATGAGCGAGAAATGCTCAAAGCTACTGAGATAGTACTGCTCGATACAGCTTGTTAGTCATTTGAATTCTACTCTTGATAGTAGCAGAATTCTTACTCTCATCGAGAGAGGATGACACTAGGAAATTAGGACAATTTTCTGGTTTATTTCTCACACAAATGTCATGCCAACCTGAGGGGTTGGGGATACATATTTATAGGCTGCTAGCCAGCCAAGCATATGCCAAGATGCTAGATGCCGTCCTAAAACAGATGTTGTCCTAGATGCTAGATGTTGTCCTAGATGCTAGATGCTGTCCTAGATGCCAGTCAAGGATGCTGTCTTTGATGGGCAGCAAGACCACTATGCAGCCATGCAGCCACAAGGACCATATGCTGCAGCCCCACAAAGACCAGCCAACACAGAGACTTATCCCATAAAAAAAAGGGTGCAGATTCCTTTAGAATTGTAGAATTGAAATTTGATGATATGTTCAGATTACAACTACTGGCCCCTCCTACTCCTAGAATCTACTGGAACCCCCTTCAGTGCTTCCAACAACTGCATGGGAAGAAGTTAGAAACAAACAACCGATCGCAGTGACAAGCGGAGCCTAAGATGTTATAATTCTGAGAAACAGTTTACAATAATATATACAGCATTTCTTATCAAATGTTTATATTATTTTGGCAATCCTGAGTAATAGGATTCCTGTAAATTTAGTAGTGTGACTTTGAGCAAAGAACAAATATTATGAGGAAACTTAAAGCTCTCAAACTGAGAGTGACAAAAAGACCTTGAAGCATCAACACGACCATATTTGTATTCCACAATTCCAGCCTCTAAGAAAGCAGCTGAAACAAAATAAGAGCCTTCTCCATCAGACAATAAATAATCCCAGTAGGTAGAAACCTTTTCCAGTTCACCAAAATGGTCCAACATCTTATTCTTGTACACTTGCACTTGATCAAACAAAGACGATGATAAGTCATCCAAGATGTTCTGCTGGAACATTGATATTCTAAACAACCACCATGGCACACTGCAGCAATCAGAGAGATCCAGACTCTGTAGGCTGGTAAACAAAAGCTTTGCAAAGACAATGAACTGCAAAAGAATAAGATAGAAACTCAAAATACTGTAAATACAAAACCAGGAAGACATTTTGTGTCTGCTAAATTTGGCAAAACAGAATCAGACGCTTTGTCACCACCTATGGTACTAAAAGGCTCAATACAAATCAAAGCTTTTGATCACAGAACTTGGCTTGACGTAAACACAAATACAGCCAATTGCAAGACTGCTACACTAGACACAAATAAAATATGAGTCCTATGGAGTATTGGCACAAGCTAAGGGCCTGTGTCTATAAATATGTTAAAAACATAACAAAAAAACTCTATGATGCACTTTACAATTTATACCTCTTACATTAGTAATGTAGAGAAGTTAGAATGATCAGCAATGTTTTCAAGTCGTCCAGTCGAACCTAGCCGCCATGGGACCGACTAGGACGATTAATCACGATTAATCGCGATTAATCGGACGACTTGTACAAGTTGACGGTACCCCTAATCAGTCAGCAGGGACCGATTAGGACGATTAATCGTGATTAATCGCGATTAATCGGACGACTTGAAAACATTGATGATCAGCACTCCATACGGATTCAAATATGTTTGGTGGAGGAATTTGTTGTTGTAGATGCAATGATTTTGTGGTCCTCCATAAAGAAATGTCTAAGACAGATAAATGTCAACATATGGCATAGATGTCCTGTATCTTTAAAAACGTTGTGTTGTCGCCAATCTCTCATTTTAAGCTTTGATAATGTATGTGCCAAAAATTGACAAACTTGAACTGATCAGGCTACAGGCTGGCATAGTTCGCATGACTAACCCTTAGTACCCAAGGTGATGTAACATATGCTCAACAAAAATGCTATATGTGTATATCACACCCACATAAACTTCAGCTACTATAACTTTGCCATTTCCCAAAGCTCAAAACCCGCCATCCAAGTCTTTCATCGATGACATGTTATTTCAAAACATAGATTAACTGATTATGCAAAGGCCATAGGGGAGGTGTGAATGAATTGAACAAAAAATAACAGAACGTCACTTTAACCAACAATTAAATTCCAAGACATAAATAGAGAAAATAAATGAGCCAACCTCAACACACATACCTGCAAGAGTGAAAATTTCCCATGAACATGAGAACCAAAAGAAGCTAAATTGTCAGAAGCCCAGGCATCCCATATGTCTCCAAGATTGCTATAGCATCTTTCATCTAAAGATGAAATCCAGAAAGGAAAAGTGGGAAACTTCCTTGGAGGCCTAAAAACATTTTGAAAAGCAAATATATATAAAAAAACAGTACCTCCCTAAAAATCCAACAGGGTTAAATTAACATGAAAAGATAAATCAGATTTGGTAGAGTCATGTCATTTGTAATAATAGAATCATGTATTACAGCTAGATATGACATCAGAGTATCAGACAGAATACAATGTACTATATCATCATATAGAAACACCAGCTCGTCCTTTCTATAGAAACACCAGCCCATCCCTTCATTATATAAATTGTTTTTTCTACAGTATACAAACAATTTGCTTTACAAAAAAAAAGAAATTCTCAGAAATCAAGTCAATTACAGCTCAAACAGTATTACTAGACAATGAAACTGCAGATGTTCCCATAAACGAAACAATAGAGCACATCTGCAGACCAAACTCTGCTGCATGCATCTATTTATGCTTCCATGACACCCTCTGGCAATACTTCCTGTGGGGAAGCTATCTCCAGCAAGAAGCCACAAACAGTCCCCGAAATATTTATTCCCTCTGACTCCAAATGCAGGTCGTTTTAGACTTTTGTACAAGGGTCAAGAAAGTAGATAAAATGACCTCCGTGCCCTTAATGCATACTTTCACTGATGATGTAGTGTTAGTGGACGAAAGCCAGGTGGGAGTAAATAGGAAACTAGAGTTATGGCGGCAGACCCTTGAGTCTAAAGGTTTTAGATTGAGCAGAACTAAAACCGAATACATGAGATGCGACTTTGGCGAAGCTGCACAGGAGGAGGGAGATGTGAGTTTGGAAGATCAAGTAGTTCCTAAGAAGGATACCTTTCGGTATCTGGGATCAATGCTACAGAGGGATGGAGATATTGATACGGACGTTAGCCATAGAATCAAAGCAGGGTGGATCAAGTGGCGACAAGCTTCTAGCATTCTCTGTGACAAGAGGGTACCACAAAAGCTAAAAGGCAAGTTTTATAGAACGGCGATTAGACCGGCTATATTGTATGGAGCAGAATGTTGGCCTACAAAGATTCGACATGTTCAACAAATGAGTGTTGCAGAAATGCGTATGTTGCGATGGATTTGTGGTTACACAAGAATGGACCGAGTTCGGAACGATGATATACGTGATCGCCTAGGGGTAGCATCAATTGAAGAAAAGCTTGTCCAACATCGGTTGAGGTGGTTTGGCCATGTCCAAAGAAGACATCCAGAGGCACCAGTGTATTGTAGAGTCCTAAGCCAAGCTAATAATATAAGGAGGGGTAGAGGAAGACCGAAATTGACATGGAAGGAGACAATAAAAAGATATTTGAAAGCTTGGGATATACCTAGAGATCTATGTTTGAATATGAGTATTTGGAAAGCAGCTATTGAAGTACCTGAACCGTGACTTGGGGCTCTTGGTGGGTTTCCACTCTAGTCTACCCCAACTCGCTTGGGACTGAAAGGCTATGTTGTTGTTGTTGTTGTTGTAAGCAGGAGCAAAGAGGGAAGAAAAGGATAAAAGATGCATATAAGTTCTAGGATGACTTATATTTAGTGAAAATTAAGTACTCCCTCCGTTCCAAATTACAAGTCGCTTTGACTTTTTGATACATAGATTTTGATATATCTAGATACATAGTAAAATTGATGTACCCAAAAAGTCAAAGCGACTTATAATTTGGAACGGAGGGAGTAGGCTAAAACAACCTAAATATAGAAATGGAGGTAGTATGTAACCACATTGCATTCCCTCACCAAGTCAACATAGCTCCCTAGTCCCTCAACTACATCCATCTGACTGACATGTACAAGGAGTATACCACATGCTAGCAATCAAGTGTATTCCCATTTTTGTTTCCTATAAGTCAACATTCAGGAGAAAGTTCAATAATCTCGATATCTTACTTGGCAAACTCCAACGATATTCTACTATGCCACATTTTAGAACTATGTGAAATTAGCAATTTTGAAAGTGCCTTTAAAACCTGTGATCCAATTTACAGAAGGTCAATTCTAGAGGCTAAATGGAACTAGCCCATCACATTATGTTGGACCAATGCTTAAAACTATACCCTCAGTCTAGTATATATGCAAGCTGTAATTGATCAAAAGGATCCCCAGATATTAAAAATCTAACGTTTCTTCCACTAAGTTGTTTGCCAAACTAAGCGCACACAGTGAGCCATGGCTTTCCCTAATCATATAGTAAAATAGAAAAAAAATAAAGAGAGACAAAACCCAGAAACTAACTCACCCAGTCATGTTCTGTTGCGTGAACGCGAGCAGCGCGGCCACCCCAGCGGAGAGCACAACCGCGCACCTGCACTCGAACCCCTCTCCCACCGCTCCCCCGTCCCCATCCCCCAGCAGGAACGCCCGAGCGGCGGCACCTAGTTCGGCGTAGAACTGCGCGGCAGAGCCGGGAGGCCCAGAGGAGGCGGAGGCCGGGAGGAGGTGCGGCGCAGCGGCGGCGAGCGCAGCCTCGTAGTCGCCGGCCTCAACGGCGGCGAGCGCGGAGGCGGCGGCGGCGGGGCCGAGCGGATGCGCAGGGGAGGGAAGCGGGTGGGGGGCGGGGTCGAGGGCGGGCGGGAGGGTGCAGCGGAGGAGGCGGAGCTCGGCCTCGCGGAGGAAGGCGGGGCGCATGGCGGCGAACGCGGAGCGGGAAGAAGAATTGAGAAGACTGCGTCCGACGCCCGTTATGGCGGTGGGCGGCGGTGGGTGAGGCTTGTTATTAGGGTTTTAATATTTTAACTTTATTGTATCAGGGCTTGTTTCCAACCCCCTCAACACATATATATTGAAATGAATTTCAAACAAACCTGACATGGATGGCAGCACGTCCGCCCACGAGTTCCTAACTTTCAACCACGAGCATCAGATTTCGTACCAGATATCGGCGATATTCAACAGAGATTAAATAATAAAATCACAGTAATATAAAATAATAAATTTATAGTTAAATGTAACGTAAATATGTCAATCTTACGCAGCCAAACATACAGTAGCTCACAAGCCACAATAGGGCATAGAATCATAATTCAGTCATTCGTGCTCATACAAATAAAACAAAACTTACACAATAATTGAAGTAACAAGTTAATAGCTTACGCGATCACTTTATTTAACTATCCATAAAAACTATGATATTTATAGTTCGACATTTTATTAATGACCTATGCCTTAAGTAAATCTTACTAAGGACTTGTTCAAATTCGGTGGCCTAATGACTTCTTAGAGCTTCTCCAGTGGCCAAAAGAAAAGTGACTCATCATCTTACGTGGCTTGGCTTGAGTCGGCTCAACTGCTAGAGGAGACTGATTCACGGAGGAGACAGAGAGGAGTCGACTCAACATCTTGCATTGATTCATTAGACGAAAACAACTATAAAAGATTGTTTGCTGCTTTTTGCGGGAGACGCCATCTACATGGAGTTGCACAAGATTGATGAGTTGATGTGGGTCGACCGGAGAACAATGAACCGGTTTGAGAAGCGATTCCTGCACATGCATGACAGCTTTTTTAGATCATGATCGACTCACCACTGCGATGCCCTTAGTTTACTTTAGCATAAGAAACTTAGGTGGTAAGGTGCTGGACTGTTTAGTGTTTAGAGTAAAGTACATGGCCGGTCCTCGAACTTGTGGAGTGTGTCGGTGTTTCGGATCACCGGCTAGTGAATTTCTAGTTTATGCGTCTGGTTCGGATGGTATGCTCGGAAGACACAAGGATTATACTAGTTCGTGCAGAACGTCTCTATGTCCAGTCTGCTGCTGCTCGTGTTACGGACACTGTTTGTAGTAGGGGTTACAGATGGACGAGAGAGGGAGCGGATCCCAGGTCTCAGGTGGAAGGATTGAAAAGTGCTGAGAGTTTGTTCAGCTGCTCAGCCATGTGCTTGTGCCTATCTCTCTTTGTGTTGCGTTGTGTTCCCCCTTTTATAGAAGAAGAGAAAGATGCAGGTTACATCAGAAAAAGAGAAAAGAGAGAAAGAGGGAGAAAATCGAGGAGAAGAAGCCCTTTGGGACCGCCGCGTCCTTCTTCTCCTTCATGCGAGTCCCACCGACGCTGTAGATGGGACCGCCGCGTCCTTCTTCTCCTTCAAGCGTAAAGAGGTGGTGATGAAAACTCCTAACAAAAAGAATAGAATGAGTTGTGTTAATTGTTGGCACGAAAATAATTTCTATGAATAGCGACCCATTTATAACTGGAGTATAGTGTGGAAATAAAGATTTGAGGGCGAGTTACGTAGCTGGGCATACAATTTTAAATCTTGGAGAATAATAATGTCAGCTAGTATTTTTGCGAAGCTCAAAAATCAAATTGAAATTATATCCACTCTTCACGGTTAAGTCGGCAAACAAACGATTTTAAGTTTAAAGTGCTATCTTTGGTAAATTATATAGTGGAACATACTTAAATAGTGATTTAATATTTTGTTCCTACGAGTTAGTACGAAGTATGGACTAAGTCATGACATGTTGTCTAGTTGAAATTGACAAAGTTCTGACCTTTTTAAAAATTCAATCATAAGTGTTAATTGTTGTTTAGTTTCTAAGTCTGTAACGATAATCGACAACGTCATTTCGATATTTAAATTCCAACAAAAATGATTAAACAATTTTTATATGTTGGAGCACTATTGGTTGCCCCAAGGTGAGCACTCGGGAATGGTGTAGGTTATAGTCGTGTTGAGTGTCACGTGGATCTCAGAAAAATTTGCCTAAGTTCATTAGAACGCGCTGCGAGCTCTGTGTCAACGCTCTATCGCAGACCGGAACTTCGAGGACGAACTCATATTGGCACGCAGGTATCTTCCTCTTGGGTGGCCCTTTTGTTGTGCGGATTGCTCCATTAGGTAGCTAATAAGATCAACTTTAGAGTCGTGGAATTAGTTGAACCTCACTCGTGATCGTTAGCAATTTTTGTGTCGCTTTAAAAAGCGTGCTCATCACCGTTCAGCCGCTGGCTCTATAGGCGCGGACACCACGTGCACGCTGCCATGGCCGGCCGTTCCTGGCTGGGGTCGTGCCGTGGTTAGCCTTGGGGGCTGACGATCGCTCGTCGGGCTGGGGGTGGCCTAGGTCACCTCCACAAGCCGCTGCACTGATGGGTTGTCATGGTGTGGCCATCGCGAGCGCAATGGTGGTCCGTAACGTTGTTGCGCAGTCGCCGGAGCGACGTGGCGCCCGTCTGACTGCTCGAACCACCTACCTAGCCAAGAACCTGGATATCGCAGGCGTTTGCCGCATCGCGACACCGTGCCGCTGCGTGCGCATGGCCACGCGCGGGCACGCCTTAATGGCTCTGTCCAGTCGCGGGGCACTGCGCCAATGTCAACAGTATTAACGCGTGGCTATGGCACCTCGGCTCAGTTCGGCTTCCTTGTAGCAAGGCCTCGTAAGCAATTAGCGGTTCCGACCATGCAAGTCCCCTCAGATGTCCTCCCTCGCGTCAATTTGGAGTCCGGCTCACCGCGGCCATGTCGCCGCCGTGATCGGAAGCGAGGAAGAAAGGTAGGGGTGAAGCGGTAGCAGTTCATTTGATTGTGCCCACGAGCTCGCCCAGACTTCCTTGTGTCGGTGCTCGCCCTTGGGCAGTCGAGGGATCCACCGGAGGGGGGAAGCTGACGCGGCCACACCACCGTGGAGCCGTGTCGTCTCCACCGCGTGCACGTTGCCGGACCTGCTCGGGCTACCCCCGCTCCCACCGTCATTGCTGACCGGCTCGGGGTAATCCACTGTTGCTCTCATGTCTTTCGGTTGTCTTTGTCATCGCTCTTGCTCGTCGAAGTAGCCCCACTGCCACCATGCAGTGTACTGTTTCAACCGCCACCGTGGCCAGCTGACTGCCGCGTTCCTTCGGGTTTCCAACCACCGCCCAACACAGCCGTTTTTGTCTAGGAGCATGATCCACCCCCTGGGTGGGTCTGCGCGAGCCAAGAGGGCCGGCGTGACCGGGCCATGCCGGCTAGAACCGCTTCGTCGCGCACGGGCACGTCGATGGCTACCCCATTGCAAAGGTAGGATGTTTCCAAAGACCCCATGCAAAAGCTGAGTCTCTAGGAATAGTGCCAAGCAGTGTAACCCAATTATATAGTAGTGCGGGTCCATTTCTGCAAAACTGCCATGCGCGCACGGGCTCCCCCATTTGGGCCGTTGCTGGGCCAGCCGCAGCGTGCGTCGAGTTCGTGCTGGGCTGTTGGGCCGAATAGGTGGCTGTCGGCCCTTCTTCTTTTCCAAAGCATTTTCTGATTTCATTGCTAGAGGCAAACTTGTAAATTCAAAATAAAACCTCGTAGAAATCCAAAAATTGTGAAACTTATTTTGTTAGGTTCCTAAAATCATGATCTATCTTCTAGTGTATTTTATTCACATAGTTTCTGTCGGTGCAGAAAGTGACCAACACGTAAATATTTGTAGTTTTGCTATACATTGTGATCGGATGTGGCCTAGCACTCAATGACACAGGGTTTATACTCATTCAGGCAACGTGCCCTACGTCCAGTTTGAGTCGGTCGGTGACTTTATTCCTGAGCTCAGGTGCTCGAAGTTTGCTGTGGGGTTACAAACGGAAGGAAGAAAGATGGGGGGTACGAGAGGTCTGGCCGGACTCTGGTCTGAAGGGTCGAGAGTGACGAGAGCCCCGCTATGTGCTAAGTGTTCGAGCGTGTGCTTGTGGTTTGAACCTGGTGGTTCTGTTGTTGTGTACTAGTGAATTTTTTCGATCTCTTTGTTGGAAGAGAGCTCATCTCCTTTTATAGATAAAAGGGATAGCCTTACAAGTGAGAGGGAGAGAGTACGTAGGCTGTTAAGCCTTGTTGCCTATGTCAGCGGGTATAATATGATGGTAGGCGCCCACAATACTGTTTAATGTCAGATGCACGTGGGAGGTTGTGTCGTCTTCTTCAGGTATGGCAGACGTCGGTGCCTGCCATACTGTTGACACCCAGAGGCATGCAAGGGGTTTCACCATGTTCACATGGAACAATAAATGACGGAACATGGAACAATAAATGACGGCGCCCACAACACTGTTGATGCCTCAGAGGCACGTGGGGGAGCCTTACCGTATTTGTCTGGTATGGGAGTTGATGGCGCCCACAACATTGTAGGGGAAAATGTCGGCGCCTACAACACTGCTTCGGTTCTATTATGCCAGGAAGGTTATAGGGTACTATCCTATAGGTGTACAGGGTGCGGTCCTTGGTATTGCGGTTGACTTGAGTGCCCTGTCTTACTTTCTCTGTCCGTTTCCTGGTTCTTACCGAGCGGGCGTCCCCGGTAGGTCGGTCCCAGTCGGCTCTGATTGCACCAGTCGGAGAGGAGCTATAAGCAGGGTTTCAGCGCATTCCTAGTCGGAGAAGCGGGTCAGAGTCGGAAGTGGTGTTTTGGCCAGGCCTTCCGGTCGAAGAGGCCGTCTGGAGGTGGGCCGGTGTTGGAAGCGAGCGCTGTTCTTCCTTCGTGAGGCCTTCCTGTCAGAGAGGCGGGCCAGAGTCAGAAGCGGGCTTCGTTCCTCCTCGGCCAGGCCTTCCGGCTGGAGATTAGTTTGTCCTTTTGGCCTATCGTTCACATGTTTGGGCCGGCCCAAGAGTTGCGCGTCGTTCGCAACGTTGTCTGCCAGGCCGAGCCTTTGCTGGGAAGCCG